GGTCACTTCCAACTGAACTATTCTATTCTATAGAACTCTAGGATCTAACTATACTTTCTGCAACGGATATGTATTCTGCTTATTAATAGCACATTCCTTATTTGCTTTTGCCATCCAAAATACTTTATATATAAACCTTTATTCAACCTTCAGCCTTAATTAAAGATTAATTACCTATTAAATAAAACTACCTTTTAAGTTCTGTCCTCTCACATTATCAGCATAAAAGTTTGAAACATATTATTATAAAGGCTCTTATTTTATCAGAAGTAGTAGGGTAAACAAGCACAGTTTACCAAAGCAATATCCCTTATATTTCTCTTCAAATTGAGAAACAGCAAGTAATATTTATTCATTGCCTAGGAACAAACACACAGCAGGGTTGAAAAGGAGACGTTAGAAATGCAAACAGAAGCATAGTATCTCAACTACAAACTTCATTAGGGATCTGGCAGTAGTTTCACTGGACTCTATGTCCATAACAGGGCCAAGGAAAACAGAAATGGCAGAAGAGTTAAAACCACAGAACAAGTTACCTCGTAAGAAGAAACTGGGAATTCTGTATAGTCTGCTGATTGTTTTCTGTGTTAGATGTATTGGTTGCTGCTATAGATTGTGTAAGAGTGGCGGGGATGCTGCTTGTGTTAGTGCGTCTAGTTGCATTGCGTGCAGTCTCCAGTTGTTGTCTTGCTGCCTGTGCATGCTGTCGCTCCAACTGCAGTTGCATCTGCAGCTGCTGTAACTGAGAAGCAGAAGGGCCAGAAGAATTGAGCTGCCCTGCAGAACGTCTCACGCCTGATAACTGAGATAAAAGCTCTGCCAGAAGAGAGAGAAGTTTCTACAGTGAAATCTGCTTAAATACATATCACACAACAGCATAAATATGTCCTGAATACCAGTATATCAATTCCTTTGCTTTCTAAAACCTTTCATCAATTACATTAATGAACAAATCATACTGATTTGAAAAGCTTCATGGGCTATACATTACAAGCATCCCATGTCTCAAAGCCCATGGGTAAGGAAGATTAAGAATCATCTAGAGTAAAGAACTGTGCATAAACAAGAGAGTCAAAGCTTAAAGCTTTTTAAACCAATAAGAGTCAACCTATGGGGAATACCAGATAAGCGATATCTTGTGCAACAATTCTCTAAAATTTTACTTCGAGTCAAAATAGTTATTGATTAAAAAACCACTTCAATTCTGACTTCAGTTGGTGGCTTTGTATCCCCCCATGCACCTTCAATGTGTATTCCAGAGGGGAGCTGTGCTGCAGAAAAGACAAACATTACAGCATCATTTCAGACATTTTTAGAAAATATTCAGTTCAGAAAGGCTTTTCAAATGTTGTACTATATGAAAAATATTTGACCACAGCAGGGCTTTTTTGTGAGACTTTAAACCTCTGCTGGAAAAAGGGAAATTCTAATGATAAAAAAATGAAATAAGTAAGTCTAGCCTCCTTTCCTCCAAAGTTCAAGACTGTGACAAATTCTGTCCATGCTAAGCATTTCCCAAAATTAATGTTAATAATAAGTTATTACTCAGTGATTTACTACAGATTACATTCCATACAAAGATGTGAGTACTACTTTGCCGTTTTTGATGCAAGGAGGGCAGAAGTAGTAGATTATTTTTTTCCCCTATCCATCCAACCCTCATTAAAGCTGCAAGTTGTTATTACAGGTCATAAAAATTTTCCTTCCATCTTACTTTCAAGATATAATCCTTTGAAACTAGCCTTTTCTTAGGGGAATAAAGCACAATGCTGTAGCTCTTTGCATCAGGAACACTTGGAATGCCAGCAGTAAATGCTCGTCACTTTTAATCAGCACAGCTAATCATATCAAGATTAACTATCAATAATATTTTATTTCACTGATTACTGATAACCACCACAAGGAGAAAAATAAATAAATAATATTTATAGGTCTGTTACAAGCACAAGTTCTAACTTCTGGTAGTATGTACTAATTATTACCCCAATACAAAGGGAGACTTATAACATTGCCAGGTAAGACAGATGCATTTATGCTCACTGCTTGTAATATCACTTTGAGTACAGCTTAACAGAACCCTGGTAGCAGATGTGAATTTGAGACATAGGCTTGGCATGACACAGCCAGCCAGCACTACATTCTCTGAATGCAAAAAACATATTATTCAAAAAAAAAAAGGATGACGACAAGACTCAGAGGAATACCATTTTATTATACATGCTCCTAAATGGGAAGACCTTGTGAGGCTGAAACAAACCAAAGCAGACACTTCACATTTAACTCAGCTGAACTAACACCCACTGTAATGGTAAGAGGAAGTCTTGCACTCCAGGACACACAAACATCCTCCCTTCTTGCACCAACTCTAGTGCTTTACAGACCCACAACCTAATTTAACTCACTAAGATGACAGAAAATTTTTCATCCTCTTTTGTTGGGATATTTTTAGTAGTAGGAGTGCAGCCAGCAGGTCCCGGGAAGTGATTCTTCCCCTCTATTTGGCACTGGTGAAGCCGCATCCAGAGTGCTGTGTCCAGGCTCCCCAGGACAAGAAACACATGGACATAATGGAGCAAGTCCAGTGGAGGGCCACCAAGATGATCAGGAGGCTGGAACACAGTACATGAGGAAAGAGCGGGAGAACTGAGTTTGTTCAGCCTGTAAAAGAATACTTTGGAAGATATCTTATTGTTATCTGAATCTATCCGATTGGAAGATACAGAGAAGGCTAAGATAGACTCTTCTCAGAGGCATACAGCAATAGGATACCAGTCAGACAAGGGAACATGGGAAATTCCAATTACATCCAAAGGGTTTTATTTTTTATATCCCCCCCCATTCCCCCCTTTTAAAACATTAAGGTTTTTAAATACTAGAACAGGTTGCCCAGAGAGGTTGTAGGATCTCTGTCCTTGGAGGCGTTCAAAACTCAACTGAATGAGGCCTTGAGCAACCTGATCAACCTGATCTAAATAGACCTCCTTTGAGAAAGGGGTTAGAAATAGACAACCTGCAGAATTAATTTTTTCTATTATTTTTCTGCCATTTCAATGAGTTAAATCAGCTCACAGAGGGCTTGAAGAGCAGCCAGCACAACAGAGGCAAAGGAACTATGCCTATGGAAAGGGGGGTGGAGGTGGGAGGGGAAAGGGATGGAGTTGCAGCTTCCACTTCCAAAAGCAATGCACTCTTAAATGGGTTCACTGCCTCTCAAGGAATCATAGCCTAACAATAAGAAGCTCCAGTTTAAACATTCATGCTCTTCCAGGATCTGAAGCAAAGGCAGATAATATCAGGAACTTAGGTAAGTGCAGAAAGTTCTGAAGTTTCCCTGACACTTACCATCTTTCACTATATGAGTGTAAGATTGATGTCTTAATATTTTACGTTAGGACAAATTATAGCGCTTTTAAAAATCAACTTCTTGGTAATTTTTATTTTTACCTCTTTATAGATCACAAAGTTGAAAAAATACTTACAGATCAATTCTGTAAATCCTAAAAACATACCTGTGTGATTGTTGGAAGTTAAAAATGGGACATCTTCCCCTTGAAAATTCTCCTAAACCTGACCAAAATATGACACACAAATCAAAGAATTGTTTGGGTTGGAAGGGACCTTTAAAGATCATCTAGTTCCAATCCCCCTGCCAATAGGCAGGAATATCTTCCACGAGATCAGGTTGCCCAAAGCCAACGTGACCCTGAACACTTCTAATGACGGGGCATCCACAACTTCTAGGGGCAACCTGTTTCAGTGTCTCACCACCCTCATCGTAAAAAAATTTCTTCCTTATGTCCAATCTAAATTTACCCTCTTTCAGTTTAAAACTGCTGCCCCTTGTCTTGTCACTACAGGCCCTGACAAAAAGTCTCACTGTCTTTCTTATAAGCCCCCTTTATATATTGAAAGGACAGAATAAGGTCTCCCTGGAGCCATCTCTTCTCCAGGCTGAACAACCTCAACTCTCTCAGCCTTTCTTCATAGGGGAGGTGTTCCACTCTCTGATCATTTTTGTGGCCCTCCTCTGGACCTGCTCTAACAGGTCCATGTTTTTCTTGTACTGGTGACCCCAGAGCTGGACACACACTGGATGCAGGACCTTGCACTTGGCCTTGTTGAACTTCATGAGGTTCGCATGGGCCCACTCCTCAAGCCTTTGAAGGTCCCTCTGGATGGCATCCCTTCCCTCTAGCAAAACAACTTCTCCACTCAGCTTGGTGTCATCTGCAAATTTGCTGAAGATGCACCCGATCCCACTATGTCACTGATGAAGATATTAAACAGTACTGGTCCCAGTACGGATCCCTGAGGGATACCACTCGTTAATGGTTTCCACTTGGACATTAAGCCATTGACTATAACTCTTTGGACACAGACACCCAGCCAATTCCTTATTGATCAAACAGTCCATCCATCAAACCCATATCTCTCTAATTTAGAGAGAAGGATATTGTAGGGGACTGTATCAAAGGTCTTCCAGAAGTCCAGGCAGATGACATCTGTAGCTCTTCCCTTGTCCACTGATGTTGGCTGTCTCGAATCACCTCCCTGTCTCCCATATGCTTTGACATAGCTTCCAGGACAATCTGTTCCATGATCTTACTGGGCACAGAAGTGAAGCTGACAGGTCGGTAGTTCTCACGGTCCTCCTTTTTACCCTTTGTAAAAATGGGCGTTCGTTTTTCTCCAGTCAACTGGAGACTTCACCTGGCTGCAATGACTTTTCAAATATGGTGGAGAGGGGCTTGGCAACTACATCAGCCAATTCCCTGAGGACCCTGGGATGCATCTTGTCAGGTGCCATGGATTCGTCTAAGTTCAGGTTCCTCAGGTGGTCTCAAACCTGATCTTCTCCTACAATAGGAGGGTCTTCGTTCCCCCAGTCCCTGCTCTGAGGTTCAGGGGCTTGAGAGATGTGGGAAGAGAGATTACCATTGAAAACTGAGGCAAAAAATTGTTGAACACCTCAGCCTTCTCCATGTTGGTTGTCACTAGTTCCTATGTCTTACTTATTGGGGGTGGGTACATTTTCTTTAATCTTCTTTTTCTGGCCAACGTACCTGTATTATACTAAGCTTGTATTATTCTTCACACCCCTTGCCAAATTCAGCTCCAACTGTGCCTTAGCCTTCCTGGTCCCATTTCTACACATCCAGGCAGCGTCCCTATATTCTTCCCAAGATACATGTCCCTGGTTCCACTCCCTGTGCATTTCCTTCTTACACTTTAGTTTGACCAGGAGGTCCTTACTCAGCCATGCCGGTCTCCTGCCTTCCTTGCCTGATCTCCTATACATGGGAATTGAGAGCACTTGAACTCTAAGAAAAATGTCCTTAAAGAGCTGCCAGCCCTGTTCAGCTCCTTTGTCCCTGAGGGCAGTTTCCCAAGGGGTCCCATCCACTAGTTCCTTAATCAACCAATCTTGACTTCTCCAATTAGTACATACAGATGAAGGTGCCCCAAGCAGAGACAAGGGTCCAGTCTCCATCTTGTGAGTTTCTCGTGTTAGTCAGCTCAAGGTTGAGTTCAGGCTTACCTTCCCCTTGCACAGCCTTAAGGCGGAGCTGTTGCTCAGCTCTATATAAAATGCTTATTAAAATACAGTTATTTAAGAATTTTAAAAGACCTCCTAAAAAATCAACAATCCTGTCATTCAAACTGTAATCTGAAAGTAAACTGAGCACATTTTAAATGTCTATCAATAGTATTCCAATTGAACCAACTCCAGATTTTCAGTCTGGAGGAGGCTGAGGGGAGACCTTATCGCTCTCTACAACTACCTGAAAGGGGGTTGTGACAAGGTGGGGGTTGGTCTCTTCTCCCCAGTAACTAGTGATAGGATGAGAGGAAATGGCCTCAAGTTGCGCCAGGGGAGGTTTAGATGGGATATTAGGAAAAATTTCTTCACCGAGAGGGTGGTCAAACATTGGAACAGGCTGCCCAGGGAGGTGGTGGAGTCACCATCACTGGAAGTGTTCAAAAAACGTGTGGACGTGGCGCTTCAGGACATGGTTTAGTGGGCATGGTGGTGTTGGGTTAACGGTTGGACTTGATGATCTTGAAGGTCCTTTCCAACCTTAATGATTCTGTGATGAACTCAAGTACAGCACTTGGTTTGTGCTAAAAAAACCTAAGATTTATCTCTAACACCTCTGTGCACATGGCAAATTAAAGCTAGATGCACTGAAGTAATGGTGGTTAGAAACAATTACATTTAAAAATACATACATATCATATGAGGAGAGGCTAAGAGACTTGGGATTCTTCATCCTGGAATAGAGAAGGCTCAAGGGGGAGGAATCTTATCAGTGTATATAAACACCTGATGGGAGGGAATGAAGGAAAGGGAGCCAGACTCTTCTCTGTACTGCCCACTGACAGGGCAAGAGGCAATGGGCACAAATTAAAACAAATTAAATCCATCTGAACACAAGAAAACACTTTTAATGTGAGTCAAACATTTTAACAGTTTGCCCAGAGAGGCTGTGGAGACCATCCATGGAGATATTCAAAACCTGACTGGACGTGGTCCTGAGCAACCTGCTCTAGGTGGCCCTGCTTTGGGGGTATGTGTGTACGCACGTGTCTGTGTGTTGGACTAGATGACCCTGAAAGATCCCTTCCAACCTCAACCATTCTTTGATACCACCTGTGGACAGGACAGTCATGGGAATGAGCCTAGAAGTCTCTAAATTTAAAAGTACAAGCTAAAGGGGCAGTGTTTTTAATTTCAGAAGTTCTAGGTTCAATCCCTGTAGACAATCCAATTAAGGATACTTTTCATCAGTAAACATCCATCAATTATGAGACTGGGAAGCATAAATTTTTTTTCAAAACACAGAAAAACAAGGCAACTATTATCGTCTTGGATTTTGTTTCAAAGTCTATTTAAGGACTCTGAGCTACAATCAGTGGTTACAGCTCTTACCAGCTATAGGATCCATGGTTTCTCTATTGCTTGGAGAATATGAACTCTGAGAAGATGAAAGCCCACCAGTGGAACTGCTAGTAAAGTGCATGTTTGATCTACGTGCACGAGGGCCTCCCAAACCCCGGCCTGGGTGAAACATTCTACGTACGTGCCGAACGCCACTAGATTCATCGTAACCAAGCAGTTAAGAAAAGTCTTTTGCTATCAAATATTAAACAGCAAGAACATTTACTAGGTGGAATAGTCAGGCAACACACTATTCCTCATTCATAAAACAATGATCCAACTTTATAAGTGCAATGCAATCATAGCTATGGTGCCAGTCAGACCTATAGATCTGAACCCAAGGCACCCAGGGCTGCTTGCACCAAATTAATCTTTCCCAGACTTTTTATCATGTCTAAAAAATGTCAGGATGGATTTCCTGCCTTCTGGATCAAAGTTTTCTACTAGGTAATTTAAACTGATGATGCATATTCCAGCAGAACAAATTAATCAATAGACCTAAGGATTTTAACATCAAAATTAGGAAAGAAGGGTATTTGAATACTGAAAAAAAATCTACAAAGTTTTATTGCTATTCTTACCAAGAGCACACAGTAATTATTGCATTTTATACTTTTATCCAAGGAATTTCACCCACTCCAGTCTTCAAGGAATTGCAGGTCAACAGATGATTCAGCACTTCTCTCATACCCCTTTGCTTCATCTTCCCCCTCTTTCTCCACACAAATTCCATTTGCTCCAATTATGAAAACAAGTCCTTTCACTTTATTTCCCACATTTCTTAGGAGATGTCTATAAAAGCTATGACTTGAAATATAAGCTTGGTTTGTTCCTCCTTTGAATCTGTTGATACTGGATACTGGTAGTGACAGAACATTGCCACTAATATTTTACTGATTGACTACTGCTCTCATGCAGTTCGGGAAGCTTTCCATAGCTGCATCTGACAGAAAAATGCCCTCATTCTGGGATTTTTTTAAAGTAAACTTGGGAAATAAGATAACTAGAACATCCTTAATATAAATCCTTTGAAAAATTCCAGCCTTGGTATCATTTAGAAAAAGATCTTAGTAGCTTGCTAACTGCACCTTTCGAAGTGTTTTTAAGATAAACAACATTAAACAGTAGATAAGATTATATTGATGTCTCACCCAACTATGCTGGGGTTAAAAAAGCATTTGGAACTCTTAACTCATTGAAAACATATACTGAAAACAACCAAGCTAGAACCATTTACATGGTCAAGACTAAAGTCATGTTTAAAACAGTAAAACAGTTGAAAATTGTTTAAGAAAGAAACTGGAATTTAAAGAGCTGTCCAGAGTCTCCAGAGATAAAGGTGATATCTTACAGTAGCTGCACAGGATTCTTGACAAGAAATATGTGTGGCCATTTAAAACAGCTTAAAAAAACCCTTCTAACTGCTACACAGAAGACAATATCCTTTCCTAAACTTCTAGCAGCTGGGTGGGGGGAAATCTCTCCACCTTTTTCTTCCTTTTAGTCTTAACTGTCAGAAGACATGAAATAGTACCCAACATGGAACAGCTAGTCTACAAAAATTTTCTCTATCAAGTTTTGTGGACTTGGCAACACTGACTGCTAAAGCAATGCTGTACAGAAACTTCCACATGCATTTTCTATACTTATAACATGGTCCAATTTATAAAGCTCCCCCCCATCAGTTTTGTGATGACTGACACCGTGGCCTTACTCAGTAACTGAAAAGATTATTCTGATTTCTCTAGCTCTTATGTAGCTAGTAATAAACACACATTTCCCAATTAAAAGTTATCTGATGTCACTGATGTGGGAGGGGGAGGAAAAACTCCAAAAGCGTGAATTCTAATCCAACACCTCATCCACTTCAATAGGAAGTTAATTCCACTGTCTAATTGGGACTGACAATTTAAATGTTAACAAATTTAAATGTAAATACAGATCATAACCAAAGTGAAACCATTTCCTCTAATGTTGCTAGCAGTAGATATAGTGAACTTGAGTTGTTAGGCCTTTTTTTTTCTTTTAAGAAGCCCTGAACAAAAAATGCACTATCAAATTACACTAGAAGTGTATTTTTTTAAATGAGATACAGAAAGATAAATAATTTATCAAGATCACTTGAGAGTTTTTCATGATAGCCTGTACTTCCATGAAACAAGAGTACCTTCTGAAATTATGTTGCAGGTATTTGTACAGCAAAAAACAAGCCACATTGCTATTCCTAAGACCAAGTAACACAAAAGAAAATTATACTTGAAGTGCAAAGAAACTGACAGTTTGAGCTCTTCAGTCATTGAGAGTAGTTATATCACTACAGTCTGCAGAAAACTGAAAGACAGCCCTAATCCCTAGGAAGTCTCCTGATAGCTCTTCTAGTTATATCTTATTTATTGACTTTTTTTTAACAGGCTGAAACTACCCTATTGAAATACGATGATAAAACTAATCAAAAACTTAAAAGCACTCAACTTCAAAGTTTAAGGCATTCTCTAACACGCTTGCTTTTGGTGAAATTTACTGCTTTCAGTCTTGTAATTATCTATAATACACTATTGCATCTGGATTGCTGTTTTCCCATACACAAAATGGCATCAGAACTGACCAAGAAGGGTAAAAACTGCAGTACAGAAAGAAGCAGATGGGTGTCAAAAACACCTTTAAAAGGTTTTGCTATCAGGAATAAAACAAACACACACACCCACATTATCAAGCTACACCTAATGCCCATTCACAGTCTGACAGATATAAATATATATACACATATAAAAAAATCAGACATACAGATCCCCTACAACTAAATACCAATTGTAAAAAATAAGCAAAACTGATATAGCCACCTGACTACAGAAGTCAGAATAAGTAGTTACAGGTATCGTAAGGGACAGTCTATCCCTTTTCCCTCAACTTAAAAAAGGATATTAAATCTCTAGGAGCTCTGTGTTCCAGTGTAAGATGAGCTGCAAAGTCATCTGTGACATGATTAGGATCCCCTCCAGGTAATGCTGCACATATTGGACAGATCTGAAACAACAAAGTGAGAAAAAACCAAACACAATTAACTTTACACAAATCACAAAACACATAATTCAGAGTTGATCACGTGACATGGATTCTTATACTTTAAATATCACATTCTAATCCTGTATCTAAACAGCCATGGGTTTAAAACAGTAAATGTGTTCAAATGCAACTGTTAACTTCAGTATCTTTTTAAGACCCACTTTTCTTTGTAATTATGCTTTTAATAATACCATGGAAACCAAAAAGTAAAATTTTCAAATCCTATCTGAACTGTTTCAGCTTTCAAACTTGTCTTTATATGTCAGTTCCAGCACAGACAGTAGGTCTGGTTACACAGGATTACTGCTTGTATGTACCTGCATATGACATTATGAAGTTCACTTACTGCTCTTTGAATCCCCAAGCAACTTCTCACTCAACTCACCAGAGAAATGTGGGAAGGAGAATGAAACCAGATGTGAATACTCATTAAAGTATCACCACTGAGACCACCCACTGAGGTAACATGGAAGTAGAGATTTGGCAAAGAGAAACTCTATTCCTACGTCCTGGTTTCAGCCAGGATAGAGTTGGTTT